CTGCAAAGCTTTAGCTGCTGCTGGCATCCTTTGACATTTGTCTTTTTCCATGTTCATTAGAGCATACTATATTCCCATAAGGAACATCCAAGGAAAGAAATACGAAAGTCAAGTATTTTTCCAGGATCACTTTACTGGAAATTTTAGAGCTTCTGCTAGCTTCTAAAAAGGAAGATTATTGCTTTACACGTAAATGGAAAGGTTTTAAAACCAATTTTACTTTGAAATGTGATTTCAGAAGGATTACATTCCAGAGGTACTTCGGAATCTCTTCTGTCGACTTGAGTGACACAGGCCAGGTTTCTCTTCCACTTGAGTTTGCAAAGTTAAGAAAGCTAAGGGAAAAACAGGCAACCTTACATGGCATAAAAAGAATTATCAACTAACTTCTGTTTGCAGGGCAAACACTGCAATGCATGTCCAGGCACACAGAAAGTGTTTCTAATTGTCATGGAGATGTCCCAGGACATTCAGTATCAGTGGCTTCCAGACAGTATGCATTTGCTGTCTAGGTGATGGGTGCCTATATTCTACAGAAGTCCCTACAGAGGTAAAATTCAAGAAGACCAAATCCTGTCATTGGCAATCACCCACAAAGATTTCAGACTGAAGCAGATTTGCTGACCTAATCTTACCTACGAATGTTATATTGAGAAATGCAAGTGGGCAAAGCATGTAAGGGAATTACACTCAGAAATAAAAGGATATGAAAGTTATTAAACTCCAAATTAATTTGATCACTGTTCAAAAAGAAGAATGTTGCCAGCTTCGTTTAAGCACCAATAAATGGCTTTCTTAAATACCTACTTTGGGTTGTAAGAATGGAGCAAATACACCCAGCACTCATGACTGTTTGCTTGCATCACTGAGGCATTCTTATGGAAATGCTCACAGAAAAGAATTTAAAAATCACATGCCCATATTGTGTGTGCCCTTTTTAATGAGAATCCTAAGTTATATCGAACACTTCGCAGTCTTGAGTTAACCCTGAAATTCTTCTGACAGTGCAAGCTGAGATAATCAGAATTGAGGACAGAATTTGTGACTGAGCTTTAGAGTGACAATCACAGAATTAATCTTTGTGAAAACTTGACCCTGTACAAACAAGGTATCTCACATGTTGAAACACAGTGCAAGCTGAGATAATCAGAATTGAGGAGAGAATTTGTGACTGAGCTTTCTGACAATCACGGAATTAATCTTCATGAAAACTCAACCCTGTGCAAACAAGATATCTCACATGTTGAAATGAAATTACCTTACGGAATGCCAAAAGAGAGTTTTCAGTTATCCCCTTCAGGTTTCTGGTTCACCTAATTTGCCACGTTTTCTAATGTTTCCAGAGCAGATAACTGGGATTCCTGCCTTCAGGGATAAGGGAATGCCGTTTTCCCATCCTTTAAGAGCCAGTGCAGGTGCAACAGACAGGAATTGCAGCAACGTGCAAAGGACGATTAAAGAAAATGCCTGGAACGATCTAGAAGTTGCACAAACCACTACTCAGAGCTGATTCTCTCAGCTGTTTTCACATTGTGCATTATTGCATATTCATAGCCACCAGCAAAAACTAGGAGGTATTACTACTCTGCATCATCCCAAATCAAGGCTGCATTTCCTACTCATGTCAGAAAGGATTTAAGTCAGCCATTTCCCAGTAGCCTTTAGTGTCATTTCCTAGCCTGTATTCAGTTCACAAGATTTTCCTCAGTGAGAAGGTGGGATACAAATTCTTCTGGGTTTAGAAGCTTGTTCCCACATCCTAATACTCCTCCTTGACCCAAATTCTTGAAGTACATTATTTTTCCCATTTTTTTCATTTTCTTGTCACTTCTTTACTTTACAGAAGAAATGTCAGAAGTATACATTTTTCTATTTGGAAAACCATTCTCAAGGTTTACATAATTCTCCTAAGATCTCACTTGCCGTGGCCCCTCAATACTCATCAGTTACGAAGTCTGGAAGGAAGAAGAGGAGCCAAAACTCTGCAGAAGTGAAATGAGGGTATTCATGCAGCGGGTGAGAATGACTATGAAGTGTGTTCCTCAGTCCCAAGTAGTTATTACCATACCATCCACCCAAATAATATAACAATGGAGCTCTGTTAAAATGTGTGGTGACCTACTGACTGAATACAGGAGTCAAGAAACATCTGCTCTATTCCTATTTTGAAATGAAAGATAATGTGACAATAAAAGCTATATGATTTAATGCCTGAGCTCAGTTAAACCTCACCATATTGTTTGCCTGCCTTTCCCCTCCTTCCCCCAGCGAGCCTACGTAAGTGAATCAACAGAGCAAAGACAGATGTACAAGTACTTGAGAAATGCACAAATACAAGCCCAAAATCCTGAACAGTACTGGAATTTTAGGCATTGATTACCATCCACAGTAATACTATAAATCTATAAATCTGACCTTTTCTGTATACGTCGGTCCTGCATGCTACTCGGGTAACACCAGACAGGAAGAGGAGCTGTTCAAGTGAATGGTCTCTTCCAGTGTTGTTTTTGTTCATGGCAGGGTAACAGAGTTTTATATCATAGGTGACTCTCACCTGATAGATAATCCAGAGATGGAAGAAGGGAGAATTTTTTAAATCACAGAGAGAGCTGAAAGAACAGATTCTTTATAGCTAGTTTTGCACGCAGAATTCAAGAATCCACAGGAAATTCAGAAATTAATCCCATCTGAACCTTGACCATACTGGTGAATAAACTGGTGGTTTTTTTTGGTCGTTGTTGTTCTGTTGAACTTCATGTGAACTTATTAATTGCTGGACTATATCGTCCCACTGAGTTATTACATTTACACTGTTAATAGGTTCTATTAATGTCTGAGTTCATCTTCAGGTCGTGGGTCATTAACTGAAGCATGGTTTGCATTGTGGCCTATTTTTCATGAAAGGCTTATTAACACAGACAGACTATCAATGTTAATGACATTTACTTTTCAAGAATCTAATGAGGTCATTAGTTTCCTTGTTTAATGGAAGTGCCAAATGCACACATAGAAGATAAAAATGCAGTTGACCTCATCTTTATTTCAGCTGTACAGGAATATGTTACGCTATTCCTCTCTCCCGCCTGTTTTTGGATGCA